TGGGTGTGTGTGTGTGTGTGTGTGTGTGTCTCTCTTACCGGGCACGTGTGTGTGTGTGTGTGTCTTACCGGGTGTGTGTGTGTGTGTGTGTCTCTTACTGGGCGCACGTGTGTCTTACTGTGTGTGTGTGTGTGTGTGTGTGTCTCTTACTGGGCGCGTGTGTGTCTTACTGTGTGTGTGTGTCTTACTGTGTCTCTTACCGGGCGTGTGTGTGTGTGTGTGTGTGTGTCTCTTACTGGGCGCGTGTGTGTCTTACTGTGTGTGTGTGTGTGTGTGTGTGTGTATGTGTGTGTCTTACTGGGCGTGTTGACAGCAGGTTCCTCAGCAGCCCGAGGGTCTTCATCAGCACGTTGCTGTCGGGGTCCGATAGCAGCCGGAACAACTGTTCTGTTCCCAAACACCGGACGATCTCCACCTTCACCTTCTGATCCGCCTGGAACGCCATGTTCTACACACACACACACACACACACACACACACACACACACACACACACACACACACACACAGAGACGCGACGAACGACACGCACACACACACACACCGAGTTCAGTACTAAAGAAATGTGGCAGTCTGAGCCACTGTGTGAACATGTAAGGTGGATCTGCTTTAACTGTACGGTGTCCTTGGGTGTCATGAACGGCGCCTAAAATAAAATGCATTATTATTATAATAATTAGTATATTTTAACTCACTACAATCTAACACATCAAATCTGGAGTGGGGGATTTGTGTCTCCCCCTCTGGATGTGATCGTTTTTACAATTTGAGAGGGATAACAGAGACGGAGTGTAATGAATGCTCCAGATTAAAAACTGATTTAGCATTCAGACCAGAGCTGCAAACATCTATCGTCTAATCAATTCCTCAAAAGAAAGACAAATAGCTTTTTCTTTTAGCGATGAATTTGTTTGCCAATAAAAATGCTGGTTTTAGCTTTTCAAAAAGCAGCTTTATATGATATTAAAGTAAATATATTTGGGATTTTTGACAAAGCGAGACATTTCAACTATATAACGGAAAAGGTCCATTCCAATAGATTTCTCATATTTCTTGAATTTATTTTGTGAACTCTTTTGGCAAGGGCTTCAACGTAAGGTATATTCATTTATATATAAAAGTCCCGCAGCTCAAAACACAACACTGATGAGAGGATAGAGAGATTTAATGAACACAGGGCAAGTGGAGAGGAGAAGGGAAGTGAAGAGAATATTAATTGAAAAGAGAGGATGGTTGTAAGAACAAGTGTACAAATAGTTAAATCCTTTTCTTACCATTAAAGCCCAGATCCCATTGACCCTCAGAGCAGGACTGTCGCTCTGCGTCAGAGTGCAGAGCAGCTCAATCACCCCTGACTCCAGGATGGGCTGCATCACAGAAACAAATGACCTTCATATTAAACATCAAATCATGATTTTAAAAACAACCAATAATATCATTTGAGACAGGAATCAAGGTTTAACTACGTCACATCTTCTTGAGGTTACAGCGGACCGTAAGAGATACATACAAAACAGACTATTTGACTAATGTTGAGTAAAATAAAATGATCAAAAGAACTACAGTCAGAGAGGGCAAAAGTACACACATGCTTTACTCAAGTAGAAGTACAGATACTGGTGTTTAAAAATACTCTGGTGAAAGTAGAAGTACTGACTAAACTTCTTTACTCAAGTCAAAGTAAAGAGGCTTTGAAATGTACTTCAGTAAAAAGTACCCATAACTAGCAGCTGTTTTAAAGAGTACCTGACCTCCCTTTAGATTAATAGAACAATAATGTCATTGTTAGCTAATGAATGTTTCCATGGTGACCAACGGCAACATGACAACGTTTCCATTGGTCCCTCTTCTTTAGAGAAGACCAGGAAATGATGGATACACGGATCGTGTTCAAATCAATAGGCACGCAATGACTCTAAATAATAATGATCACGCCACCAAACACACATTCAGACTAAAGGAACCAGCCTGTTTGGAAAATGAGAGAAGTAGAAAGTAAAGGTATTTGAGTTCAACATGTAAGAAGTAGAAAGTACAGGTATTTGTGTTCAACATGTAAGAAGTAGAAAGTACAGGTATTTGTGTTCAACATGTAAGAAGTAGAAAGTACAGGTATTTGTGTTCAACATGTAAGAAGTAGAAAGTTCAGGTATTTGTGTTCAAAATGTAAGAAGTCAAAGTAAAAAGTCATCAGAAAAATAAGTAGTGGAGTAAAGTACTGATACCAGAAACATGTACTTAAGTACAGTAACGAAGTATTTGTACTCCACTGCTTCCCACCTCTGACTACAGATATGTAACGTACCTCTTTGCTGGGGGAGAACTCCAGCAGTAGATTG